GTTAAAGCATTCTGAGAAGTCTATGAACACGTGAAACTCCCTGGCTGGGGTCACGATACTTGATGTTAATTGTAATTGTTGTGGGCAAGACCCAGCAGCCAGTGCGCACAGCAGCCCACAAACAGTTGTGGATCAAGTGACCAAATTATTATTGTTTTTGAGGAATTATTATCCCTGGAAAAGCGATCCGCCAATCGACTAGCAACCGGGTTCCTACTACTGCTAGCTAAACAGGGGCACCGTAGAGTTACACAACAAAAAAATTACATTTAAGTGCTATACAGCACAGAAGGAGCCCATCGGCCCATCGTGTCTGTGCCGGCTCTTCGGAAAGAGCTATCCAAATCAAAATAAGTACCATTAAAAACTATATCCTGCGAAGTGCTCAGATACTTCCCAACGTGAATGGCGCTGTACCAAATGTAAGGATCGCTATAAGATACTCATTCCAGGTATCCATTATGAACTACTCAAACCCAGGATCCATTATGCTCTATATTAGTTATTCAGCTTCTAGGTACACACTTTTTGCTGTGCAAGCTTTTTGGGTGATCAGCCAGTGATTGACATGTGCAGAAATCCACAGCCATGCTTACGAGCCTCTAAAGCTCTCCACCCTTCTCACTGAACAATGACACATATCACACAGATCTGAACTTGCTTCTCCTAAGGGTTATTGGCGGATGCAGAATTTGGGGCCTGTCCGACATGAAAGCCAGGGCTCTTAGTCACTCACTGCGTGCCTGAGAGCTACTAGCAAATTATGAAAAGCTCAGGGTGGCGTTAGCAAGGAACCCCAATTTCATACGTTGGCAATAACTTGTGAAAGGTGACGCTCTTAATAATAATTCTTCCATTAACAGAGAGTAATTAACATCCATTAACATCATGCTGAAAAGTCTCAAAGTGCTTCGAAGTTTTCTATAAAGTGCAGTGACTAATTGTAGACGAGCCTACATAATTTGCACACAGCAGTGTCACAACTCTTGAAGCCGCACGAGCAATTTATCGGGCTCAGCCGCAAGAACTCTCGCCTCTCGGTCAGATGTTTGTGAGTTTACTGAGGTCGCAAGTCAGAACTCTCGAGTTCAAAGTCTAGACTGACATGCATGCAACGCTGTCGAGTGTTGCATTGGAGTGACTTTGGTGCCGTCCTTTGGATGAGATGCTAAATTAGCCACAAAACTCTGGATCACTCTCCCTTAATTCCTCCGCCTTGTCCCTTCCTTCCCCATCTTCAAGACCTTCCTCTTCGATCGCGCCTACTGCCACCTTCCCCCTCCCTGCCCCCCGGCTCAGTGTCATGCTCCGCCACTGTCAAGCGCTCCGAGACGCTGCCCTGCGTGAGGGGCGCTATTATATCAATACAATTTGTGTTATTTCAAGACTTTCGGGTCGGTGCCGACAGTAATTACCTGCAATCTGAACGGAGCCTTCTTCACCGAGGAGAATGTTTCCCGCCTTCACGTCCCTGCAAGATAACGAGAGCAGATTAGCTGTGCCGAGATCAAAAGGGAATATGCCGCCTGCGATTGAAAGCAATTAGCCTTTCCCGAAGCAGCTGTTCAAAATAACGACGAGGACCAAACTCAATCCAGCAATTTCCAGGATGACAGACTTTCAAAGAACACCGTTGTGTTCCCTCATACGCTTCACAATCGCCACATTATTGGTTAATCATCTGGTCTGTGGGAACTCGCTGTGAGCAAAATAGCTGACACAATTGCTTATACACACTCAGTCACCGTGCACAAATTGACTACTACTGTTACCTACAAATACACAGTCACTCCACTTTACAGTATGTTCTGTGAAGCGCTTTGAGATGTCTCAACGACCTGATAATATGCTATATAAAATGTTTTAATAATATATTATTATTATCAAGTGCTCAGAGACGTTAAGGGCGCTCCAAATACTTACGTTATAATAATATTCCTTGCATTTGATGTAGCGCCTTATTACGTCTTGGGGGAAGTCTGAAAGCGCTTCAAAGAATATATTGCAAAGTGAATTGACTGTATGTTTTGTAGCAAAATCAATTGTGCACAGCAAACAGTCATGGATTGAGTGACCAAAGTATTATCTTTATTTTGAAGAAATTACTCCCGAAATAAAGTTCAAGGTGATTCTCTCCAGTCAACTGAAGGAACGACTTCCCAACCTTCTTGTTTATTTTCGGTTTCATTTATAGCCTTGGAAGCGTGCCGCAGTTAAGGATTATTAGAATTGTACAGGAAACTGGAGGAGTAACAATGATAAGACCCTCTGATCTTCACTGATTCCAGAAAGCAAGCAAAATTGGTTTTCTTTTTCCCGTTAGAAGATTATTAGCTGAGATTAATTTAGACGGTGGGAAGATTCTGAAAGGGACAACAAATTAAATAAGGAAATACATATTCCTTGAGTTGTCAAGGCGACATTGCTATAACAACAAAATGCGCCCCTCACAGGATAACGTCCCAGGATAAGGATAACGACCCAGGGCGCTTGACAGTGGCGGAGCAGGTCGCCAAGTCGGGAAGAGGTGACCGTAAGCCCAGGAGGAATGCATTCAGGCACGACCTGAAGATAGGGAAGGAAAGGAGAAGGCAGAGGGACAGAGGAAGAATGTTCCAGAGTGTGGGCGTAATGGCTGAAAACGCGGCCACTGTTGATGGAACAGAGGGCACGAGGGGATGTCTAAGAGGCTGGAGCCAGTCGAGCGGAGGAAATGGGTAGTGGGTTGGGGAATAAGCAATTCGGAGAAGCACAAACAGATTTGAAAATGAGTGTGAGGATCTTCGAATCGATCCACCATGCTAGCAGAATGCTAATAATCCTTTACGTTTGATATTTGTCCACAAAATATATCATCAATCCACTTAACAATACACACACACACATATATAGATTGTTATTACTATTATAGCATCTTTCACATCGCTAGGATGTCTCAAACCACTTCCCAGGTTATACTGCAAGTGGAGTGATTGTGTGTTTTGTGGGCGAAGAAACAAAAGATAAGGTTAGAAGGAAATGCTTTACTCAGAGGTTTGGAATTCATTTCCTCAAGTGGCTCATTGAGCAATCAAAAGGGAACTGGATAAGTACCTGAGCAGTAAAAGCATTATGGATATACAAATATAGATAGGAAATAGTAAACATTTTTTCCAGAGATCACTCCTCTCCCTACCCTAAAATCTCCTACTTAACTTCACAGCAAACACATATATCTTGACCAGTGATACCTCAGATAAAATTAGCCATCACTTCACGTAGGTCAATTGCTGTGCGGTAATTGCCTGGCAGATTTCACTGCAAAAAATGTAGTCACTGCACATTACAGTAAATTCGCTGACATCCTCCCAATGTAAAAGGCACCATATCAAAAACAAGGATTATTACTATTATAACATCCTTCCTGATATTGCCTGCTCAGTCCCCGCCTAGTAGAGATAAGGAATCCGTAGCATATTGGTTAGAGCGCTCGCCTTGCAAGCGAGAGTACCCAGGTTCGATTCCCACCTGGTGCAAAACCAAGTTTCCTTAACTCAGACGCCTTTGATTACCTAACAGTGAGCAGGAACCGATTGATAGTGGATTAGTGATTGCTTTCTGGGGTAATAATCTCTCCCCAAAAAAACTTGGTCGCTCAATCCAATTGGAGGGTTTCACCCTCCATAAACAGTCACTTCACTTTACAGTATATTCTGTGAAGTGTTTTCAGATGTCTGATTAACGCAATGAAGCACTATATCAAATGCATCGATCATTATTATTATAAACCCCCTCCCTCAGAGAAATCACGGCGGCAGAGCTGAAAGGGGGGGGATTAATAAGAAGAGTAAATAGCGCGGCAGACATGATTGACCAACAGCGCTGAAAATGGCCAGGTTTCTATTCCTGTTTAATACGTTTAAATTGGTAACCCAATACAATCAGAGCCTTTTGTGGTTCGAGCAATTATCAAGGTCAATCTCAGGACTCGTGTCCTTGCCAGTCTCCAGCTCCACCTTATACTGCTGTGTCACACAAATACACAGCACACAAGAGGAGATTTTATGAGAATATCAAACACCACTCCTCGTAAGAATTTTATGTTTCACTTAAAATTAAAGAGCGCAGGAAACCTTTAAAAGCCCTCCACGATCAGGTTCCGTGACCTTGTAAAACCCTACCAACCCTCGACTCCCTCCGCTCTGCAGGCACTGCCCGCTCCACCATCGGAACCCGCACCATCCCTTTAGCCTTTCCTCCACCACCACCTGGAACTCAATCCCGGAGCCCGCGGCCTCGCTCACTCCTTTGCCTCCTTCAAGGCCGTTCCTCTTTGACTGGGTCTTTGGTCAGTGGGGGAGCAAGCACCAACACAGACACGATAGGGAGAGAAATAGAGCAGGGAATGGGATTAGAGTAGAAATCCAGCAGGGGAGCAAGCGATTTTTATGGACGTAATGATGTCTGATCAATTCCTGATCAACCTCCAGCCCGAAGCAGACTTTATTCAAACCAAGCGTGTATTTTCTGCCCAGGAGAACTTGCTGAAGGGGCACTAGGGCACTAGCTGGGTATAGGGATTCTGGTATAGTAATCTATTCCGAAGGTGATCAACTCCATTATCAGAGAATGAAATGTTTTCGTTCTTGGTCAACCGAGCATATGACACACACAGAAACCCATCACTGTGCTAAGAGAATCCAAACCAGAAGAAGTTCCATGCATGCCACTTACACATAGAAATTCCCATGTTTGGAATGGAATGTATAATCTCTCTCTCTCCAGATGGACAAATCCTGCTTAACTAATTCTACAGAGCATAAGGCACAAATTGCTCGCTCTCTTACCTTTTGCACCGTGGAAAATTGCTTCAGATCTCCGTCACTTAGTAACTGGCTTCAGGTATTCCAATTAATGAGTAGGGTTGGAGGACTTGAAGCCAGTTACTGAGTGACAGAGTCTGGGAAGAAGTTTTCAGTGGTGGAAAAATGCAGGAGAGCAATACTTAGTACATGAACTCACATTTTTAGAACAACTTACCAACATCTCAGTGTTTCAAAAGTCAAGTGCAGTTGATTGTTTTGTCAAACATGGCAGTCATTTATGTACAGCAAGGTCCACACAAAACAGCTTAATATTCCTTGCATTTGATATAGTCCCTGTCACATCTTCGAGGCTCAAAGCGCTTCACGTGATTTACTGTGACGTGTACATATTGTGAGCAAAATTTAGCAGCCAATTGCGCACAGCAGTGTCCCACAAACAGTCTTGGATTGAGTGAGGGTAACGTCAGGGGGACGTTCCAAAGTGCTGGACAGTCAAGGAACTGGACCTGAGCTGGCGGTAGGGATCAGGGGAAGGGCAGGGAGGGTGGGAAAAGGTGCAGTCGAAGAGGAGGATCTTCAAATGCGTCTAGAAGGAGAGGCGGACGAGCAGGTGACGTGGAGCAGGCGGAGGGAGTGGACAGGTTGATATGGGGCAAGGATAGGGGTGATGCAGAGGATGACAAAGCCGCAGAGTTCTGGATGATCTGCAGCTTGCGGACCGAAAGTATGGGAAAGCCGACAAGCAGGGAGTTGGCATAGTCGAGCCTGGATTTAATAAATATGACAGGTCAAGTTACCGATTTTTTTCAACTAATCTTAGATAAGTGAAAAAAAACTCATCAAAGGTTCTACTTGAAAATGTGCTTTAAATGCTTTAAAAATAAAAATCATACCTGTAGCCAGAAATATGCTCGCAAGCCAGAATACTTTAAAACTTTTTGTTTGAAAGGGAATGAGTCAAGTTTTTGACAAAAAAAAACTTTGCATTTGACATAGTGCCTTATCACATCGGGGCTTCACAGGTTACATTGTAAAGTGAATTGACTGTGCATTTTGTGGTTGTAAAATGGTTATGTGGAAAGGGCAAGGATGATAAAAGGGATTGAGTGCTGGCAGAGACCTGAAGGGCTGAATGGCCTTCTTCTGTGTTTATAAACATCTACGGTTCTAAGGGGTCAAAATGCCTCCGTTTCTGTGTTGTAAAAATTTACGGTTTTTAACATTGCTACTGTGCAAACTGCGTTGTACAATAAACTGCACATAAAGAATGCGTGCACACATGGATTACAACTAAATGCCCAGTTTCACTGGGGTCTTGTGTCCCTGAAGTTCATCTTGGATACAATCCACATTGTGAGTCAGTCCTGTGGCCCAGTCATTAAACTGGTGGTTAATGCGGCTGTGTCCTCTGGTTCTATTGTTCAGTACGAGATTAAACAACTTTTTTAATTTGATTTTATTGCTATAATAAACAATCTTTGGGACATTATATTGTTATATTGCATCTCATTCTTCCAGAATCTCCACCCACCATCTTCCATCACAAGGTCAAGCTATTTTTAATAAGTGGCTGCCATCCTGGCCTCAACACCCCGCCTGGGAACTTGTTCCAGTCATTATACCCTCTGGATAAAGAAAAGCATTGTGCTGTAATCCCTTCACAACT